TTTTTTTTTTTTATTTTCTCTATTATTAAACAGCATTTACAGGGTCAAGGCCCCAACACCCCACAGGGGGGGTCACACCTGGCCCAGGGGATTTGGGAACCACTTGGATTCCTCTCCTTTTCCTTTGAAATCCTCCCCCCTTTTCTCTCCTGGAATTCCCCATCTGGAATCCACCTGCAGCAAGGAGAAAACCAAGGGAAAAAAAAAATAAAAATCAAGAAATCAACCCCCAAAAAACCAAAATAAGGAAAAAAAAAACCTAAACAACAAAAAAAAAAAAACCACAAAAGCAAAACAAACCCCCAAAATCACAACAGCAGTTGGTTGGTTCTGTCACCTTTAGTGTATGATACAAGTTCACAGGGAGGGTTAGAGGGGGTTTATTCACAGGGAATTCCCGGGATAACGAGTCCAAAGAGTCTTTTCCGGCTGTTTTTTGGGGGGACCTGGTGATGGGGAGGGTCCCCCCTGGTCCCAAAATATCCCGAGGAAGAGGAGCAGCCGGGAAAACGAGGGAAGGAGCCTCTCTGGTTTCAGTCCAGAGCGGGATCTGGGAGCAGAATTCCCTCCTTTCCTTCCCCTGGAGAGCAGCACGATCCTGGTTGGAATGTGGGGAGACCCCCCCGTCCCTGGGCTTGCCCAGAGGTGGTTTTTTTGGGCTTGTTATTCCTTATCCAAAGGGAAATTTCCTCCTCCTCCTCCTCCCCAGGGAATGCCGGGTGTCCCAAGGACAGCACGAGCGATGGATGATCCCAAGGGATGGATGATGCCAAGGGATGGATGATCCCAAGGGATGGATGATGCCAAGGGATGGATGATGCCAAGGGATGGATGATGCCAAGGGATGGATGATCCCAAGGGATGGATGATGCCAAGGGATGGATGATCCCAGGGGATGGATGATCCCAGGGGATGGATGAGGGACCCCTCAGAGGGGCTGATGGAGCCCAGCCCCATTCCAGGAGTCCGGGATCGGCTCCTTTCCCGCAGCTCCCGGCGAAACTCAACGACAACAAAAAAACAAAAACATCCCAAAGGGAAAGAAAACCGGAAAAAAAAACACCCAAAAAAGTGGATTTTTGCTGTGTGAGGACGTGGAAAAGCCTCCCCTTGGTCCCAGGTCCTGCCCAGCTCCGGAGCAGGGACAGGGAAGGGCCCCTCGGTGAGTCCGGACGTGGCTCCTCCTCTCCCGGAGCCGAAATCCACGGGATTTGGGATCATCCCCAATTCCCAGGGGATGAGGCAGGAGCAGATTCAGGCACAGAGTCAGGACAGCTCATCCCATCCCATCCTGGTTCTCCTCTCTCTTCCCAGCTCCTTCATCGGGATGGAGGGAGGGGGAGCCCGGGGCTGTTATTTACACTGTTCCCACCGGGAATGCCGTGGATCCCGGGGGAATTCCCGAGGGGGGATGATCCAGGGGGAATTCCCAGGGAGGGCTCCCTCAGTTCTCGAGGCTCTTGGGCTGTTGTTCCACTCCATGGGTCCTGAGGGGGAATTCCAGAGGGAATTCCAG